GAATCTGAAATCATGAGTGGTGAAGATTCTACTACATCCAGTGTTTCCTCAATGCCGAATGGAATGAGTGGGGGTGCGGACCTATCCTTTCCCATGGTTGTTATTCCTCTCGACAGTTTAAATTATTTGGAATGGTCAAGAGGGATCAAGTTATACATTACTGCAAGGGGGAAGATAGGTTATATAAATGGGAGAATCAAAGAACCCAATTCTGGGAGTGCTGAATACGACAGATGGAACCAGGAGAACAACATGGTTATGTCCTGGCTTTTAGTGTCTATGCAACCCCAAATAAGAAAGAACTTTATGTGGACTGAAACGGCAAATGAAATCTGGGAACAGGCAAAATCAACCTATTCTGAGTTGCGCCACTATGCAAAGATTTATCAATTATAGGCATAATCGTCCACTTGTAAATAGAGGGAGATGTGTCTTTCTGTGTACAACTCCAACGACCTCTGTCTGGAAGGAGCTAGATCATTATCAGAGTGTGGACTGGAAGTGTGATGAAGATGCAAAATTATACAAGAAACTTGTATCTCAGCAGAGAGTGTTTGCTTTTCTACATGGCTTGAATCCGGCATATGAATCCATCAGAGTTCAGATCCTAGGTAGCAAGGATCTTCCCTCCGTCCAGAAAGTTTATGCTCTTGTACAATCAGAAGAAAGTAGAAGGAACTTGATGAACAATTCTGGAGGGGATGCAGTTGGGTTGGCAGCAAAAGGAAGTGTGATTACAGGTGGTGGGAACACTTTTAAGAGAGGAGACTCTCAAAAAAGGGCGGATGACAAAGACAAATTGTGGTGTACTCATTGCCAGAAACCCTGACACACCCGAGATACATGTTGGGATCTCCATGGGAAGCCAAAATGGGCTCAAGATTTGAACAAGAAGCAAGGTTCAGATCTGAACAAAAAGTCAGGATAGCAAAGTACAAGAAAGAACACTATGGCAAACATGGCCTCTCAGAAGATCAGCCCCCCATTACTACTATGATACCGACTCACGTCTCTGGATCTGACCCAAGGGAGGATATTATTAATTCCTTCCGTAACCATTTAAAGCTCTATGGTAGAGCAATTCGTCATATGGATGCTCCTCCCTCAATGTCATTTGCGTCTACATCAAGTAACTCTGCCACAGCCTTCCATGTTGCATCTCATACCCTTGACACTCCCTGGATCATTGATTCTGGAGCGTCTAAACACATGATTCGTAAGTCCTCTTACTTTCAAACCTATCACCTCCTTTCTAGAAGAGACAAGGTGAGACTAGCTGATGGATCATATACTACCATAGCTGGTCAATGAACTATTTCTCTTCCTTTTGGCCTTACACTCTCTAATGTTTTACATGTCTCAAAATTTCCCATTAATTTGTTCTCTGTTAGTAGTATTACAAATTCCTTAAACTACTCAGTTACCTTTTTCCCTTCTTACTGTGTGATCCAGGATCTGGCCTCGGGGAAGACGATTGGTAGAGGATGTATGGTGGATGGACTTTACATGCTGGAGAATAAAGTTGGTCTTCAAGTTACAGAGTCTAAGAGTCAGTCCTGTAAGAGTCAAGTCTATTTATGGCATTGCCGTCTTGGTCATTTATCTTTTGAGTCTTTAAAAGTGATGTTTCCAGAATTGTTCAAGTCAGTGTCAGTTTCAGACTTTTCTTGTCAAACTTGTCAATTGAGTAAGTAATGTAGAACTCATTTTCCTTCAAAGAATAATAAATCTGAATTTCCTTTTCACATTGTTCATTCTGATGTGTGGGGCCCGGTTACTTTACCATCTAAGAGTGGCTACAAGTATTTTATTACCATTATTGATGATTTTTCTCGATATACATGGGTATATCCCATGCGGACAAAGGATGAAGTACCAAAAATTATCCAAGACTTTCAACGGATGATCTACACCCAATTTCAAACTGAAATCCAAATTTTTCAATCAAATAATAATGCCAAAGAGTATTTTCATAGTGATCTCACGGAATTTTTTGCTTCACATGGTTCACTTCACCGTAGCACTTGTGCCCAAACACCACAACAAAATGGTGTTGCCGAAAGAAAAAACTGACACCTCCTTGAAGTGACCCGGGGTTTACTAATCCATATGAATGTCCCAAAACGATTTTGGCTTGAGGCTGTCCTTTGTGCTACCTATCTCATCAACCGTATGCCCTCTTGTTGGTTAGAGTGCAAAGCCCCACATCAGCTTCTTTTTCCTAAAGCTCCCCTTCTTTCCATTCCTCCTCGTGTGTTTGGATGTCATTGTTTTGTCCAAAATTTGTCACCCACTCGTGGAAAATTAGACCCCCGTGCTGTTCCTTGCATCTTCCTGGGGTATTCTTTCACTCAGAAGGGATACCGTTGTTTTGATCCTGTTTCTCGGAAGTTTAATGTTTCCATGGACGTCTCTTTCTTTGAGAGTGAGCCTTTTTTCCCTGTTTCTCCTCAGAGAGAGTGTAGGAATGAGGAGAAACTAGCTCAACTCCCTCATCTTCCTGATCCCCCTCCTTTTCGTGTCTTCTTTCATCATCACAAAGGCCAACCAAGTTCAAGAGTTGTGGAGAACCTAGAAGTTGTACCTCCAATGCCATCAAACTCCTCGGGGGCGGATCATACTCACTCAGGTATCTTGGTTCCTATCGATGTCCCTGACCCTATTGCTATTGATACCTCTGTTGGTAATGACCTTGACCTTCCTATTGCTCACAGGAAAGGTGTTAGATCTTGCACCACTAAACACCCCATTTCTCACTTTGTTTCCTATGAAAACATTTCACCCTCTTTTTGGGACTTTCTCACTTCCATTGACAGTGTTCCTATCCCTAAGAATGTGGCAGAAGCTCTTTCAGTACCTGAATGGACAGATGCTATGAAGGAAGAAATTAATGCTCTACATAAAAATGGCACATGGGAATTAGTAGATCTTCCTAAGGGAAAGGATCCAGTTGGATGTAAATGGGCATTCACAATCAAACATAGGGCAAGATGAGCTCCATTAGAGTCCTGTTCTCCCTTGCTGCTAATCTTGATTGGTATCTACATCAGCTTGATATCAAGAATGCATTCCTGAATGGTGACCTTGAAGAGGAAGTTTACATGGTACAACCCCCTGGTTTTCGGGCTCAAGGCAATGAACAGAAAGTGTGCAGGTTGAAGAAGTCTTTATACGGACTGAAACAATCACCAAGAGCCTGGTTCAGCAGGTTCCATGCAGCGATTTAGCAGAAAGGATACAAGCAATGTCAATCTGATCACACATTGTTTGTGAAAAGAGGGGAAGGGAAAATTGCTGCTCTTATAGTATATGTTGATGATATAATTATCACTGGCGATTGGAAGGATGAAATCCAAAAGTTAAAGATTTTTCTTGCTACACAGTTTAAAGTAAAGGATCTAGGTCCTCTAAGATATTTTCTTGGAATTGAAGTTGCCCGCTTACAAAAGGGTATCTTCATTTCCCAAAGGAAGTATGTCCTAGATCTACTCCAGGATACAAGAAAATTGGGAGTGAAGTCAGTTGATTCCCCTATTGATCCTAACCACAAATTAGGTGACTGCCAAGGTAAACCTATCAAGGATGTGAAACAGTTTAAGAGACTTATAGGAAGATTGTTATATCTTTCTATGACCCGCCCCGACATTGCTTATGTAGTTGGTGTTCTTAGCCAATTCATGCATGCTCCCAAGATCACTCACCTTGAAGCAACAGAAAGAGTTCTTAGATATCTTAAGAAGTTCCCAGGCGCTGGTTTGTTGTTTCAAAAGCATGGACATCTGAAAGTTGAAGTGTACATTGATGCAGATTCGGCAAGATCCCTAAATGACAGAAAGTCAACTAGTGGCTATTGTGCCTTCATAGGGGGAAACCTAGTTACCTGGAGAAGCAAAAAGAAGAATGTGATAGCTAGATCCAGTGTTGAAGCTGAATATCGGGCAATGGCTCATGGGGTGGCTGAAATTATGTGGCTAAAGAATCTATTGAGTGAGTTGGGTTTTACAACAGACCTATGACCCTATTCTGTGATAACAAAGCAGCCATAAACATTGCTGCATGATAGAACTAAACACATCGAAGTTGACAAACACTTTATCAGAGAGAATGTTATCACAAGGGAAGTGTGTAATCCTTATGTCAGCTATGAGGATCAACTTGCAGACATCTTTACAAAAGGACTACACCATTCACGGCATTATGACTTATGTGATAAGTTGGGCATGATTGACATCTATGTCCCAACTTGAGGGGGAGTGTTGAAAGCTTGTATTTTCCTAAGTTAGTACTATAGGGGTACTATTGTACTTTTATCATTTTATTTTTTATAGTCAGCTATATTGCATGAACACTTAAAAACCAATGTCATCTCCATGTAACCAAAGTTTAAAATGCAGAGACGTGACACAAGGCTTTCCACTAGCCAGAGGCATGAGGTGTAGTTCAGAACACAAGAGGCATCCTCCTGAGTGCAAGGAGGTAAAAGCCTCCTCAAGAGGAGTTACTCTTCTTTCTTGAGGCATGCATGAAGTGCATGAGGCATACACCTCATGTAAAAGGCATTTGAGACATATACCTCAGAGTCATCCACTCCCCCAGTGGACGCCTCAAGGCTTTTCGAGTGTACCTTGCCTGGAGGTACCTGGATGCATGCCTCAAATGCCTTGAAAAGCATTGCATGTAACATAGATAATAGTGACTGAAATGCTGGGATAATTACACAAAAGCAAATAAATCCTATATCTATCTGCTACTAAAGTGAAAGCTTTGCTCAAAATATATGCTATAAAAGCAAAAGGAACTTGACAAATAATTTGAAGAAATGATAGTCAATGTCACCAAAGAGTTAAAGAATTGTTGCAGATTCAAGTATCCTTTCATGTGAAAGTAAACGTTCCACAATAAGGGATACCATCACTTTGACCTCAAACAAGCATGAAATTTAGGATGTTCAAACAATTAATAGCAAATAGATTACTCGTGTTAAGGCTCATAATAGTTGCCTGTTGAAACTTAGTTGTTGGATTCTGACATCCAGTACTCGAGGATGGTTCAGCCAAGCAGGCAAGGGAGGATGCAACCAACTCCTCGGCCTGCCAAGATACATTGAGTAGAGATAACTTTTCAAGCTTTAAGTGGATAGATGAAAGATTAGCCAGAAAATCATTATAATGATCAAACAAAATCTGCATATTCTGCACCTCTATGTAGCCAATTGACAGTCGTTGTGCATAATCATCAGCTACATGCTGCCTTTGTGTACCACTAACTGCATCATGATGCTGAGCAATTGCCAAAGCATCAGCCAATGTATTTGTATGGGACCCTGAACTACTCCTTCCTTTAAAGAATTCCAATTGCCTTGCTGCCTGGTTATACATAAAAAAAGCAATAAATATTTAAGAATTGCAAAAAGACCCTAGAAAGTTCCTGTTAAATAAAGGGGCACAAAGATATTACCAAATAATAACCACTCATCATTCTAACATAACGTTTGAAGGCTGGCCTGCTTGTGAAGTATCCTGTCCAATATGCATTCGGACGGTCTGCATACCTGAAAAGTGCATGATATATTTCTTCAGCACAAGATGAAAACATAGAATGGAAAAATGAAATGCCAAATGCAATATGTCCAACTCACGGGAAAAAATCATCAATCTTAATAGGCCAGGATTCATTTGCTTCATGTTTTGCATCAGTGTAAATGGATGGGGTTGAATACAAGGCATTAACACGTCCATCCTGAAAGTACTCCAAACAAAATTATTTTACCAAAGCATACTAAAGCAGATCATCACAGGAGTTCTATGAATATATATGTATATATATATATATGCACAAAGGAAATATTTTAGAGTGCAAGAGAGGATTATATACTAGAATCTACAGGACAGGCAACACAAAGCGCCCCCCCCCCCAAGGGAAAAAGATGTTGGACTATATTCACCCTACTAACTACTAAGAGTATCACATTCCTTCATTATTTCCTTCTTTCTTTCCTACTGTCTTTTCTTATCAGACCTACTAAGTGTCATTCTCATTTGCATAGACATGGCATAAGTCAGTTCACTGGAAGAACTAACATTTTATTAATCAGTAGAAAGCACGTTGGCATTTTTTATTACCCTCTTTAAATACACCTATTGACATTCAACTCCACCTTATTTGGTAGAGAAAAACATTTGTATCAGATTTATACTCCCCATCCTCGTTCTCCTTAATTAGAATTATAAACATAACAAAGCAAGGAAAGTAAATAGAGAGAGGGAGAATTATGTGGAAGTGCATAAGAGCAGCTTTGTTGTGGACAGTTTGGGAAGAAAGGAACACCAGAATCTTTTGTGAAAAAGAAAGGAGCTTCTCGGAAGTTAAAGAATGTATTTTGACAAGGGCAATTCAG